AGTTATGGTTCTTGTGCACTGCACTTCCTCTCAATGTGCTTGACCATTGTATGTAGTTATATTGAATTCCAACCATTAGTCTTCAAGTTATGGTCCGGACAAGGAAAATGCAACGGACGTCTGGACCGACCGACCGACCGCCCGACCGACCGACCAACCGACCACCGGGTGACTCCTATATACCCCCCCAAACTTCGTTTTTGGGGGTATAATTATATAATTTTCAAAACAGTAGATAAATATCGAACATAAAAGCACAGTCAATCAATTAATTAGCCTTAATTAAAACCTATCCAGGGACTGACAATAGAATTTTAGAATGCCTTTCACGGAAAATGCAAACTTTCCTTGATACAGTACCGTCGGTAATTGTCGCAATTATCAAGAGCCCAACAACAATCATTTTCAGTGTTTGTTGTTGTTGGTCTTTTTTTCATATAAAAGGTGTCGAAAATTAAACTTAATGAAACAAAAAAGGATTATTATCAAAAATTTGTAAACTATTTCAATTGGTGTAAATGCAAGCAAAGGCTATTTTTTCTCGACATCTTGCGATGACAAAGATCGATATATATAGCGATCAAGGCGATTAATCTCTAAAAAGTTAACATCCAAAGACAATTAATGCTGTTTCTTGGTTAAAATCCTCGCTTAAAGTCATAAAATAACATATGCATTTTCGACTTCCATAAAATTTTGAAAAGTGCCGTACGGCTAGCCAATACAGCGTGTCCTTGCTAGTCGTACGTGACTCACGTACGGCTAAAACTTTTGGCTAGCCGTACGGGCCCGTACGCTAGCCACTTCCATTATAAAAACCCTACTAAAACGTGTTCTTAATAGTACATATAATTAATTTTTTGCAGTTTGATTCTGACTTTCAAATTTAAAGGTGTGAACATATGTTATAATTGAGGTACACATTTCAAAAATATCAGCAACTGTTTTGAAAAGTAAATTGTTAACATGTCTGTCAACGTATGATGCTACGCTTCGTAATCGTGGCCTAATATTAACTGCAGGCAAACATTTTTATTGGCTGCTCAAAAATCTAATTTGCATAATTTATTCACACAATTGCTGGTTCTTACTACTTATGTCTAATACTGCGCATTGTCCATTTTAATTGTTCCTAATTTGCACCAAATGCTCCTGTCACACTGTGTACTGACGATTTTTATTGGTCCTTGTATGCCTCTGTGCCGACAGACCTTTTGATCATGCACAATATTGCCCTAATTGGTTTATCACCCTTGTCAAATATTCTAATGACGAATGACATCTATTTTTTACGCTTCATCAGTGAACTGAATGACCTTAGGGGGAATTCGGTTCCACACCTGTCAAATTGTACTGTAGTAAATTACAGCACGTCATAAAATAGCAACACATTTTTTTCAGTTCCCAATAATCATTTTAAATATTAAGTAGATTTATGATTTTTTGTTTTATTGGATTAAATGTACGGTAGAAGAAATGCGTATCTGTCGGGGAAAGTAATTTGGTAAGTAGATAACGTGGAAAAAAGCTTTGGGGAACTGGATAAACCCGAGAATATGCGTAATTATAGCGGAATGGGCAACCTGTTGCTGTTGGTACCAGTTTTGACTGGGTGCCTAAATAACTTTACGGACAGTTTTGTTTTCATACGAAATAAGTCTGGCTGCCGATTTTCCTGCGCCTTTCTCATTTTTCGCGTCAATGGCGGAAAATCGCGCCCTCAGCATATTGGATTTAGTTGATATTTTACCTGAAAAATATGACCGGCGATGTACCCTATTTGGACAGCTTGTCTAGCGAAAATTAAGTACAAAATAAAAGGATATATCGTCAATTTGAAGAAGTTTCTCATAGTTCCCAAAGTAAATTTATGGTTTATCTTTGAAAATTAAGCAGTCATTGCTTAAATCATGTGGTGGGATCATCAGCAAGCTTGAGTATCGGGCAAATGATAATTAATGTCGCGGCGTCTTCAATTAATTAATTTAAGCAATTCAGTTCCATATGATGTTTTCATAAATAATATATAATGTACGCAATTAAATTAATAAGTTCTTCATCAAGATATATTTCAGTTGTACCAGCGTGTACAACTATACCGGAAGTGGGTATAACACGTCACAATCTCGGTCTCGTCTGTCTCGCGAGAATGACAGAACGCCAAAATGGCGGCGCCCATGAACTTATTTCTCAAGTAAAAAATAGTGTCTTTAAACACGAATTTCTCTCTTATAGGGTTGATGTCAATAGGGAAACTGTCATGGTTCCTCTTTTTAAATGATGAATATTTATATTAGACAGACATCGATACATCCATTCTTATTCCTTTAAATCATACATTTGGAGGAAATATCGTAATATATTTGCATATTTTCCTCCAAACACTTATTTTAGGAGCTTTCTGTCCAACATAAGTTAAAGGGATTTTTTTACAGATCAATTTATTGCCACTTTTTATTTGCCCAATAATACATCGACTCATATTTCTTAATTATAGAAAATTTACGTAGGACATGCGAGGGTTCTTGATTTGATTCAGAGGGAACATATTATTATCAGTTCCCACTGTATCACTGTTACTTGCACTGTTGTGCTAGACTCGCTATTTACCACACTTGGGCATGTTGTGCTACTAGGACACACAAACTTGCTAGTGGATACATCTAATCTCTTGCATTTACAGGAAAGTCAACAATTTGTCCAATTTTTCATAAACAATTACAAATGTCACTCAATCGTATTTTCTTCTTGTTTTGTGACATTGTTTACATTTGCGACATCGTAAATCGGTCGCCGTATTGTCGTAAAAAAATCACATGTGCACTAAAAAAATAACTTTCAGCGGGGTTTTCCCATGTTCAATTGTATTGAATCGAGGTACCCATCTAGTGGGTAATTGAATAATTAGCTTTCATTGGACAAAAACAATGATCTATTTTTAAACAAGAAAGTTTGCTTACAAGTTTTTTTCTTCGATTAAACATTTCTCTGAAAGGGAAAATCTTCACAAGAAGGGGAATTTTAGACTGTTTTTTGGGGGAAAAAGGTAGTAAGTTGGCTTGGGGAAGTAGCCGAATACCGGCTACAGCAAAGAAGGGTAAAATGGCCCTGGGTTCATAACAGTGGGAGGAACTAACTGGGTGATAAACTGGTTCATAACAGTGGGAGGAACTAACTGCCTATCATGTAACCTAACACCTTGAATAAAATTTTTATTTCAAATTTCAGCATTATATGTTCTTAGTTCTTACCATTTGACCCATTTAATATTATTCAAAATCCTAAGTAAAGGATATAGTTACAACTGTAGGACTCCTTTAATGAAAAAGTTGGAATATGTGTTACTTATTAATGAAGTTTTCCCAAAAATATTTTGAACCTATAAATTTTATTGAAAATTATGACAATACTTTGTAGTTAAGCAGTTCATTTACACTGAAATATTAACACAGAGAACTTCAAAAGTTAGAAATAATGAGCTTGTTGCACTGAATCATAATAACATATTTGGATAATGCTGCTCTTATTCCACATACATAAAATTCAATTTTCATCAAATACATGCAATTTATTATGTTTACACATGCATTCTTACTTCCAGTGATTTTTCTCACTTAATTGGGAAGAAGCCTTAGCCTCTTGATTTTGGGAAAAAATATAGCTAAAATTGCTAATTTGGGAAGTGAAAAATCAGGTTTAAGTTGAGATCTTTGAGAAAACTGCATGATTTTAAAGAAAATTTCAATTGGGAAGAGGCCCTTTATCGGAGTCTGCTATATAAGCAGGAAAATCGCTGACTTCATTTACATCTAATGACTACTTATATGGGCTGTATCCTGGATTAGACCCAGGGGTAAGTATATATTAGGTTCATTTGATTCTCTTTATTGTATTATATATGCAAGTTTTGTTTCTAAAATATACACAGGAGTGTGATCCAAGAGATTGCCCTTTATTTCGAATCCAGGTCAGCTCGGCCCTAAAACATACTCGGCCCCCGAGTCAGCTCGGCCTTATTCCAACTCGGCACGGGTCAACTCGGCCCACTTTTAAAAATGGGTAAAGGACATCAAAGGACTCCTATTGCCACGGGCTATTATTATCAATCAATGTGTATGTTAAAGATACCGATTAATTAGGTGATAATTATGATTGACTCATTCATTCGAATTTGATTAGTGACCACCTCCAATTAATTAATTAGAAGCCTACAGTATGCTATTAAGTATACACATTTTTGTTGTTTCATATTTTTTTGAAAATTATTTTACAAACAAAATGCATCTAAGGAAACACATTTTTATCTATATATTCACAAGCACAAGTATCGGACCTGGGAAGAAAAAATATGAAGTTATTTTATCAATCTGTTCATATTTTTTCTTCCTAGGTTCGATAATCGTGCCTGTGTCTACATTAATTTTATCGAATCTGCAATACAAATAAATAACTTTTTTTTTCTAAATATACTTTATTTCAGCAGAGGTACAATGTATAAATATATAATAATAATAAGATATTTCTTATTATTCATTTACCTTAACAACATGCAACGCAAAGTAAATACGTTATAGGCCTATATATTTTTGTAAAGTGGGCCGAGTTGACCCGTGCCGAGTTGATATAGGGCCGAGTTTACTCTTTTCCTTTATTTCTAGTTGCAGTTGGTTACTCCTTGGCAAATTATGAAATTCTTTAGGAAGGACATAAAACTAGTATTTTGGACTATGTACAGCTCTTTGCATCTATCCAAAATTGTTTTGTTAAAGTTAAACGATTGAAATAAATTCATTAAGCCCGAGAGGCACTGATCTATTGGATCAGCCATATTTGAAAAACGTGTCTGAACACGCGAGCAAACAAAATAACGGTTAAAAATATTGGAGATCGTTGCATTATGGAAACATTACTTAGCATTTCCTCAATTCATAATGATTCATTTCGATCAAATATAATAAATAAAAAACAAAGTTCTGCCGATTTATCGCAAGATTTTGTACCTTTCCTAAAAATCGACCTTTTAAGTATCGCTTTCTCGTAGACGGGTCAGTTATCATGTCAGGAATATGTTCCTTCTTCACATCGTCTCTTCTACTTGCGCTTGAAGTCATCCTGTTTCTTTGGGTTTGCTTTTTTTACCAAAATATTGTCTTTTAAAATATCAAAACCTTTTTTTCATACAAATCTTTTCTCTCCGTCAATGATCGGCCATTTTCAAACTCACGATATTTCAAATTTTTGGGAAATATTCAGGCTACATGTAAACAATCACCCGATTGGTTAATTTCAAACGGAAAACTTCGTGATTGGCCAATCATGCCGCCACCTAGCGTACAAGTTTATTCCCGTATTATGACGTAGAGAGAATCTATGTTCCGAATTTTACCATTGGATATTTGAAAATATTTTCACCAATCGTCTATATTCTAACATTTGTAAGAAATTGCACGAGTAGCGAAAAGAAAAAATATCAGGAAAACCGCGAAAAGTCTATTATTTATACATATGATAACGACTTTATTTTGGTTGCTTACTCCACCCAGGGTCTTTCAATTAGAATGGTATGGAAACGCTCTATGTAAATTCTTATCGCTATCAATTAAATATGTCTCGGTATAACACGGTGTTGTTTGCTATACGCAACTTATGCAAGTGTTCAAGAAAAGGGCAAACATCAAATACAGGATTAAAAATGGAAAATCTAACAATAGATATGATGTTCTTTAAAAATCTTTAAAATTGTGAAAAAAGATAAAAAAAAATATTTCATAAAATAATGTTTTTAAAGCCATGATCTGTTAAAAACATAGATAATGCTTGTTCAGAATATTTGCCGACAAAAGGTGCCATTTTGAAAATGCGCATAATTAAACATTTAATATTTGCAGGGTCTTTCAAATAGAATTTCTATTTGAAAGACCCTGCTCCACTGCAGTATTGTACAAGAGTGTTAACTTCTTCATGCAGGAACACAGTATGAGCAATCTAAAAATGTTGGTATATAGCTTTGATAGAAGCAAAAAGACATAAGAATAAATATGAAAAAAAGACAAGGCGATGTTTACAGAACGTACGTAATAACGTCCTTCTTTTCTACAGTTTTACGTTGATTGGATTTGACCGATGTAAAAAATAGCTTCAAATCCGCGGTTTACGTATAGATATTTGGACAACATATATAACGCAGCCCTTCAAACCAGCAGGACACCTAGAAATAAACCAGGGATACAACTGCGGTGAAAACAGCAAAGGGATATGTAATAAATAAAATGAGAAGAACCAAAAGGGGTCGTGTAAATTGCATGGAGATTAATGATCACCACATTGTGCTTCGGAAATTAACCATTTAAGGGCATGGCTGGTGACATGCCTGGGTTCGTACTCGACATCGAAAGCTGAATTAAGTTCCTAAACGGGTGGAATGACCCTTGTTAAACACAGAATACATACATTCATTGGTGACCTTCAATTTTTAAAAAGAGTGGGACAATCTTTTTTATATAATTTAGTTAAATTTTATGTCTGATCCTTAATGTTTCTCATAATCATTTACCATTACAATATTCAATCTCTTGAAATATAGTACCTATTCAAATTAACTTGACAGCAAAAAAATATAACCATAATACCATTTTAAATGCTTTTTTTACAGCAAGAAAAGTGTTGTTTTTTCTTGTACAAGTTTTCACGGCTTTGATTAAGGGTATCATCTTACATATTGCTAGTAGAAATTTGAGTTGCTCTAGACTTTTATAGCCACACCATTGCTTTAAGTGAAAAAAAAGTTAATTATGGCAAAATATGCCAGATGCTGCAACTACAATTTTAAAAATAGATAACTAAAATTGATGTAAAACAATATTTGATATTCTTAAGTTTTCTTATCATATGCTACGGAATTGTAAAACTCCAACAATTAGCTTTTTTTTTAAAATAAATAAAAGAAAGCATATAAAAAGTTAAATGACACGAACATAATAAACGTTGACTCTTGTTAAATAATGTGTTTGGTAAAAATGTTTCATAAAAATCACAATATGTTTCTTAATTATGTTTGATTGTGTAATATATTGCATTTACAACTGTCCAAAATTATATAAATTTTTGACGAGTGCACAACATGATCACTTGCTGTTAGTCTTATGATATATAGGTTTTTATCTTAATTTCAACATTGTACATGTATTTATTATAAGTCATGAAATGTTTGAAAATAAAATTAGTAGCAACTGCATTCTGTACGTACATGTATAAATGTGTAATTTCAAACGCTGATTTATACATTACTTTGTACTGTACAGAACTCTACTTTAGACAGGGTATTTTTTATTTGAAAGACCTGTTAAGAAGTTTAGACCTATTTACTTAATTAATCTATTTTATTTACTGTACTGAATGTCTGCAGTATAGGGCGTATGTCTAAAATTTTATTGATAAAAGGTCAATTTCCTAAAGCCGTTCACGAGTGACCACACTGTGTAGTTTGCACCTTTCCGTTTCTTTCCTCAAGCGTTGTAGTGACACTGAGAAAAAGTCACGTGGTGGACAAAATGGCGATGTTGGCAGAACCGAGACGAAAACAAAAATTTTCATTTGATCCGCGAAACACAAACTGGAGTAATGGTAAAACACTTACATTTCTCCAGCTTTACAATTAGATTGATATGTTTATCATTTTTCACGGTGTCCTAGCCGAAGTAAAAACTTGAATGTGATTTCGTGGCGATTACCGAAAAAAACACGTGGTGAATTTACAAATTATAGAACACTCATTTTCAATAAATGAATGCATTTAAGAAATAAAAGGAACTAAATACTAAATGTTTTCTATGAGTTTATTAACTATCGAAAATTTAACTAGTAACATTCATCTGAAAAACTGTGAAATATTTTGAACATTTCTATAAAGATAACGATTTTATAAACAAATGTATTATGAGTGTTGAAGTTTCAAAAATGTAGTCTGTAATGTACGTTACGTCAGACAAATAACATCATCCTGGCTATATTGTTGTGAAATTTTACCTAGAAATTAGTTTATTTCATAAAGACAATATCGGATAATTCATACATTCAATTTAAAACAGTTATAGGCATTTCCTATAAGAGGGTGGAAACTTAACCGAACCACGTATAAATCTGCAAGAAACAAATCAAGTGCTAATACAAATGTTAGTATTCGCTTTGATTAGAAAACTTGCTAAATACTTGTTTTGTTCATTTCAACCACAAAGTAAAACATAGCTTTACCTATACAAGAATCCGTTATACATAGATTTGGCAACTTTTACAAGTTCTGATGGCGAAAAGACAAGTTGCAAGTTTTGAAAGATTCGTTACAAAATTATAAGTTACATTTCCAAAACCATAAACCTTTAATAACATTTAATAAACATATAAAACTTTGTCAAAATAATATTTCTGCGATATCTAAAGTCAATTTAACGTTTGTATTTACAAACCCATCTCTGTTTAAAAAAAATTGAACATTTTAACTAACAAACAACAATAAAGGCAATATTTTGCAAAATTAAACAATAAACTTTAACTGATTACATTCGTTTTGCTTATTATTCATAAACATACAAGTTAACTCTTTGAACATATACAAATAATTGTAAAAATAAGAACGAAGGCACTTTTTTACCGTCAATATATTATTAAAGTTTATTTTAGAAATGTTCGTTACAAAACTAAATACCTGTATGTTTTCAAACAAGAATCTACTCAAATGCTTTTAACAATATAATTTTGAGACGGTTTGCATAGTCAGATAATAAAATAAAAAATGTAACATTATGCAATTCTCAATGACGATCTAGTCGATGGTTCAAGCACTTAAAGTAACGAACATGTCATACTATATGTCATGTTACATTTAACCAGTTATTTTTTCACAAATAGTATTTCAACTTTGTCTATGTCAGCATCTGTTATGAGAAGCATGCGCTTTGACTTTCCACTAGTTACTGGTGTTGATACTTTGCATAGAATATCACTATAGTCAACCCAGATCACATCAGGTCTGGATGGCCACTGAAACATCCGTTTCTTTTGTTGTAGGAATGTTACTTCAAATGTGCTGTCTTCTTCGTCAACAGTGATTATCTTACCAATGTACCAGCGACCCAAATATAACGCAGCTATATAATCATCTACATCATACTTTTCAGCTTTCTCTGTTGTAATAGATTGCACACCTGGTTTATTTGCAGATGATTCCATCCTCATTACTGCTTTGTGCTGTTACTTTTGAGACGAGTGTTTCATTTCTCCAAGTACTGCAAGTAGCGGATTCATGTGACAAACAGGTTGTACAGTAACAACTAGTGTTACGAACAGCCACGCAATTATCTCCTTTACCCACGACCGCATGCAATTTCATTGTTCCAACAATAGGTTTTAGATTGAGTTGATTGTTCTCTTTAGCTTTGTTTTCACACTCTTCTGTAGAAACAAATACAAATTTCACATTCTTCACAGTACAATTGACAGATTGAGACCACGCATAGAAATCTGACGGATCCTGTATACAAACTTTCCCAGTATTTACTGCCTCGTCTGCTAAACGCTTTACTCGGCCACCAAGGCCATCGCAATGGCCCTTTTCCATGTCCTGCTTCCCAGTAGTTCCATTTAGCATGTATGCCGTAGGTACTGTTGTGATTCGCTATGCAACGGAAGATTAGCTTGTTTCTGTACTGGGAAGTAGGACTATCTGTCCAATAATGTATACATGTTACTTCAGGAATAAGTAGTTTTACAGCTGGAATAAGTTTGTCAATAATTGTAAGAACTGTGTTTGCGTTATGGCCCATTTCATCTGAAACAAAGACAAAGCTTTGATGTAGAATTTCCTTGGATGCCTCCGTCTTAAAATATATAACGACTGGATGTAGAGTTACGGCGGTTTGATTCCAATAGGCTGACTGTATTTCCTGGACAGATTTGCATGAGTAATTTTCACTGAAATCCATGTGAATTATACAATGATTGACGGGCAAATTTTCTTTCAGGTTTTTCATTTCTGAATATTGTGTCTTGATTCTCATAACGTGTTGGTCAAACTCTTCAATTTGTGATCTAAGATGAGTTAAAAACTCTTGTGGTTTCATGATACTGTCAACTATTTTCATAACTGACTTCTTTTGGCCTTTAACTTCAATTTCAACGCGTTTCCATTGACCAACTTGTATTTCATCACCTGAAGCCAACTTTTGTTCAGTTTCTTGAAGCAGGTCTTGTTTCCTTTCAAGCATTTTCTCTCCATTAAGTGTACACTCAATGTTTTTCTTCTTGAGAGCTTTAAGAGTCAGCGACATGTTTTGGTGCTTGGTACAAAGACATGTGTCTCTTGTGATCATGTGTGTAAGTCTTATTCTCGCCGGTCTTATCCTCGTGAAAGAGGTGAAAGACAACTTGATACTAGGATTTTCTGACATGAATTTATGGTAAAGAGTTGAGAGATAGTCAGTTAATACTCTTGTTTGATACTTCTCTCCGTTTTCTGATCTAACGTAATCTCTTTTGCCAGGCATAGCTCGTGAGTTTTCGTCTCGCTCGAGGAACTCTATCACCTTTTCTCTAGACTTTGCAATTTCCCGTCGGCGGTTCAAATTTTCAATACTAACACTCTTGCATGTAACTTTTGACAATTTATTCCTGCTCATATTTGTTTTTTCTCCAAATCTTTTAAGCAACTTGTATTTCTTCAATAAATTTCCCGCTACTAAATTTTGTAATATCCTTTTAGCTTTTACAGGTGCTTTATGTGCTGCAACTTTGATCTCATCGCAAACAGCATTTGCAAAAACTAACTCTTTATGCACACGTTTTCTTTGTTCTTGTGTAAGGTTAACTCTTTTTAGTAATTTTTGCAGCCTTTGATCTTGGTGTAATTACAATGTTTCATTTTCATTTTTTTCTTGTTTCATTTTCTTTGAATTGAACGCATAGTCAACTCTTGTATTTTCTTTTTAAAGGTTATCATAGTTTTCCTTTAAAACTTTAAACTCTTTCTTAGTTTTTGCCAGTTCTTTAGTGACTCTCATTCTTGGACCATTTGTTCGAAAATTCATTCTTATTTGTAACCTATTTCTGCCTTCAAGCTGTGCACTTTCGTAACCACTAGAATCCATGGTACTTGTATCTGCATTTTCTCTACTATTCTCAACATTCTGTAGGGCTGCTTTTCTTCTTTTTTGTCTGTATAATCTTAAATATTCTTTGTTTTTCTTGTTCCGTTCCTTTCGCTTCTCTTCTGACAAGTATTTATTTTCTACGTACGATTTTCGTCTTCTTTCCCTCTCTTTTGATAAGTAATTTTCATTGTCTCTTTCTTTTAGTCTTTGTCTGTAAGCCTTTTGGATTTCGGCTCTTGATTTCGCCATATCTGAAATACAAATTCGATTTTAAGTCACTAAAATGTTCGTTATGATTTCTGACATGTTCGTTACCAAACTTAAAATGTCATGACAATATGTTACTTGCACGTTTAAATATACAATTCTTAAAATTATGAATATTTAAGAATTGTTTTATATTTTCTAAGACAATTCTTAAGATAAATGTAATAAAACACATTTATTAAGTCGAAATATATAAACAGCTCGGTCGAAGTTTGAAAGCCAAGTATAAAGTTTCTGATTTGTAGATATTTTAAGGTAATTAAAGATTCTTTTTTTAGATTTAAGATCAACATAGGAAGATATTTCAAGTAGCACAAAGGACAAGAAATATCCATTTAATATTTAGACAAAATATTCTGTCAATTTAATTAAAATGTTCGTTACTAAAAGTAACGAACATGTCACAACATTTATGTGGCTGTTATAAAGTTCAGACCCGCCTAACAGAAAAATAACAAAATTACACAAATAGCACATTATCATTTTAAACCAAAATCGAAAGCTTTTGAAAATTAGTAACATAAATGCAATTTAATGCTTTCTTTGAAAGAATACACTACTTACCACGATTTAAAAATACCCAAAATGGTTTAAAAAAAGCGCGATCGATTAAAACCCTTTAATTTTCCGGGCCCTATTTTGTATGGGCATTCGCAAATGTGACGTCATAGCCATAGAGAGAAGAAAATACTGCGCAACCTTCTCTAATTAGTAGTTCTTTAATTGCTGTATCGAACATTTCTATAACGAACATTTCAATTCATTTATTCATGAACAGTTGTGCAATAACAATCACATGTAGATATTCTTTATAATGATTTTAAAGTAATGTTGTTTTGTGATGAATATTTTCCAGGCAGTTAATTTTGTCTAATAGTTATAGGGCCTCTGTTTTTAGAATTAACGAACATGTCAGCGTAAAGTCGTTTTTCAACAGTATAGCGACTTATGTGTTAATTATGTCTATGTTAAGAGACCTGCTTATTTAATTTGTATTCCAACCAGTACACAATAAAACGTGCGTGCAATACCGCAAAAATAAATTTAATTTCTTAAGTTTTCTCCATATGTTTGTCTCACATGAAAAATCGGTAACGAACATTTTTAGCAGAAGCAAATATAAAAACTTTTACCGGAAAACAATTCCAAGCAAACGATTAGGTTTGTAATAGGCACTATGTCTTTTGTAGTGAATAATAACAGTTGTTAACTATAAATTAAGATGTTTAGGGTTTATTTTAAACATCTTCCTTACTGTAGAAGAAGAACTGAATATACCGTCTATCAGACGGCGACAGTAACGAACATGTCAAAACTAAATATGTTTTTGAAAAAAAATCTGATATGTTATAAAATGGCATTTTTTTTATTACTATTTTTGAAGACGGAAGTGTTTAGGTATTTAAGGACAATTTTTGTCTGTCTTTAAGTACTTCATTAACAAAATAATTCTGTGCGACAACCGTGCACTCGTTTATTGAAAATGAGTGAGAAACGTCAACACGTATCGGAGCACTTTTAGAATCTGTCAGCACAGCAAAATCAATGTTTTAAAATCCTGACCCAAAACCGTTCGGTGTGTTTATTGGTCACTACCCCACCTCTCTCTTTATTTTACATACAATATTATTTATTTATTCATTCATATACAATGATACCTTTTTAATCCAATTATCTAATCAATTATGAGATAACTGTTGAATAAACAACCAATCAACATGTTGAATAAACAAGGTGACATGCAATAAACACTTAATCAGGTCTAGGATTTCATGATATTTATGGACTGTTCGTAAATTTACAGACAGTCTCGAAATTTAAAGATTTTTCAATCCATAAATTTACAGATATTCCATGTGAAATTTGCTGTTTTTAGTTTTACAATAAAATCCGCAGCTAAAGACAAGTTGTTTTATAGATTGTTTATAATTACAAAGGTAATAGGGTGAGTTTCATCTTTGTATGATGATTTTGAAATTTTTGTTAAAAGTGAAAATTGAAAGTCATCAAACTGTTCTGAATCTTAGCAAACTGTTACATTTAATCATATAATACCTAACCTTATTCATTTTAACCTGCGGTTTTAAATTTCAATGCAACTTCTACTATTTTCTTACTTAATGTCTGTAAATTTACAGATAAGAAAATCTGTAAAATTATGGATTGTCCAAAAATTTACAGACTGTCCGTAAATATAATGAAATCCTAGACCTGTTAATGGATGAAAGTGCTTTGTATAACAGTGGGCAATACGATGATCATGAATTAAGGACTGGGGAATTCTTGGAGAAAGTGGGTGAATTTATGGACGTTTATAAGAATGTGGTTCTTTGAACCAGTAAAATGTTATGTTTTATTACATGTTATATGAAAATGATTTAAAGAAATTATTACATGTGTTATTTGTTTCTGAATTATTTACTAAACAAATATTTACTCTTCCAAATGTCTGTAAATTGCCCTTTAATTAAAAAATTATTAATCAAATAATACTAAAAATAATTAAAATAAGCATATGATATAAAAGCATTATGTTGTTGGCTTATTTACTTTATAGAAAAAAATCTACAACCCTCCTACCTCTCCAAAACAGGCTGGTGAAAATGCCTGATGAGGCTTATGTCTTAAAAAAATCTTATTTCTAGAAAAAGAAATAAAGATATTTCTTTTAAACTTAGGGGCGTCCATGGCCAAGTGGTTAAGGTCATTGACTTCAAACCTCTTGCCCCTCACCTCTGTGGGTTCGAATCCCAACAGGGACTTTGGATTCTTTCATGTGAGGAAGCTATCCAGCTAGCTTATGGAACGTCGGTGGTTCTACTCAGGTGCCCGTTTGTGCCTGAAATAATGCATGGAAGGTCACCTGAGGTCTTCCTCCACCAGTAAAGCTGGAACATTGCAGTATGACCTATAATGTGTCGGTGTGACGTAAAACCCAAAACAAAACAAAAAACATCTTTTAAACTTTGTTTGTTTATTAATAATATGTAAAACATTTTAGTTTACACAAAGTTTACCATTATTTTCCGCTGTCAATCGACAGAATATAGTATTTCAATATGAGATACAGGTTTATGTAAAAGTTCTGATGATTTATATATGTATAATCACAATGAAAAAAAAAACATTCAAAGATTGCAGATAGGTAGCAAATGAAAATATCATCAAAAGAACGATTATACTCAACATTAGATACACGCATACTGCAGGCAAAGGATTAATTTTCAATCATACCTTATTTCAGATGAGACAAAGTTTGGACATAAATTAATGGAGAAGATGGGTTGGTCTAAAGGTAAAGGACTTGGGGTTAAAGAAGATGGTAAAACTGAAAATATCTCTGTCACATTGAAGAATGATACAAGAGGTAAAATGTTATATGTGTATACCATTCTTAAATTATAATTTATAGTTTTGTAATATTGATTTATATTAGTGCTTGGACAGTGAGATTCTTTGTCAATGATATGACCAAGTCTGTAGAAAATCTTTCATTTTCTATCTGCCTGACAACTAACTCATTTGAAGATTCTGCTTTTTTGTTTGGTTTACCTTATTGCTAGGTGTAAATTCTGTGTTAAGGTTTTGTATGCTTACCTGGAAACATCTTCAATTATACCACTGTAGGCATTGACTTAAAACTGTACACTTGTCTTAGGGATCATGTTTTTCGGTCAAGAGTCTGTCTGCTTGGATGGGGGGGGGGGGTGGGGGGGGGGTTCTGGTTCCATCCTCAGTTGAGGTAAGATTCTACGTGACAGTTGATCTCGAACATTGAGTCTAATTACCATTTGTCTCTCATCACTAATTAAGAAAATCATGTGGGATAAGTAGTCAGTCACCTGTGGAGAAATTGTAAATTCCTGGTTAGTTATCCAGGAAGCTAGTTAGGTGGAATGAGCACAGGGATATGACAAAAAAATTTATAATTGAATCTACAGCTCGATTTTCGTTTGCATATATTTCTCTAAAAAGAAAAGAATACAGTCAAAATTGGTTGGCTTTATGGCCTTTTCCCCCTTGTAAAAATATAAAAAATATGTAAACACAATTGTCTTAAAATTACAGGTGTTGGTTGTACAAAGAGTCATGTTGACAACTGGATAGCTCACCAAGATGACTTCAATGCTTTACTTGCTAATCTTGGACAGGATCATAGTACAGGGCCTGGGGGTTCACAGGAGGAATCTGACAGAAAGGTCCTCAGTCTAGAGCAGACATCTAGGTCATCCAAAGGCAGAGTACAGTAAGATTATATTTTGTTTGTTTGCAATTTGATTACCAGCTGAGCTCCAACAATGTAATTTGTGTCATATTGTATTGAACTATATTACAATTTTATATTTAGGAGGGAAACTCCAAAGATGCACAATATGCCAATCCAAGAATATGGTGGGTGTACAAGTTAAAGTTAGATTATATTTAGATTTTGCCATAACTGGTTAAAATTTTATAGTGTAGTGCATGTATATAATCAATAGCCTACAGAATATTCTAAAAATATCTTCCGGAATGTATTATTAAATTTATTTGATAAAATGAGTGGGGGCAGTCTGTTTGTATTTTAAGGCAGTTGTTATAATTTATGATTAGCATTTTTCATCATCTATTTTAGCCAATAACCATTTTAATAGGTAATCTTTTTAAATGTAAAGCCAATTATTATTAAATAGCTTGAAACAATGAAAATGATGTCACTTTTATTACGTAGCTTGATTCATGACTGATGGAAGTAATTACTAAATCACAGTGATTAGGACATGTAGTAGGTAATTCAATGTCTGGGACCTTAAACCTGTTCACCATATTCTTATAATATGAACAGCTAAAAAAAGGCATGTCTCTTTGCCAAAGTACTGGCTCCAACTTTGTAGTCATAAGTGTATTTTTTTATTGGCGAATTCAGTAGAGCAAACTAAAATTGGCACTGGAGGGACTCTGTCAGGGGTGCTACAGTCAAACCTGATACACATGTATATTTCAATGACTGTCAATGGCTTTGAATTAATTTACTGTATTTAATTTATGTTTGTAAACCACCCTTTAGTTAAGGATTTGTTTAGTAAACGCATCTGTTGTTTTTCTAGCTATCAGAAGTTCACTAAAGGAAAAGATTTGTCTTTGAAGTCAGAGACTGACTTAGATTGTGTGTTTGGAAAAAGGAAAAGCCAGTCGGGAACCAGTACACCACAAGCTCAATCAGGAGCTAATACACCACAGGTCCAGTCTGAAGTAAGTTTTAATTTAAAGCAGCATGCTTCCAGATTCATGATATTTTTTATGACAATTTTAAAACTGTATTTGAAAGTAAAATATTGTGAAGTGAACAAAGAGTGTAATTTACATATTACAAATGGCCATGTTGCAAACGGCACTTAAAATCTACAAAAATTAACCAAAAATTGGTCAGAATATGCAAAAATAGCCTTAATTGAGTTAGTCACACAGTAGAAACATGGTGATAAATAGATTAATCAGTCTTTAAAAGCACAAAAACTGTAAATCATAAATAATGACTTGGCTAGAGTAAGAAAAAAGTGCATAATGAGAAGATCAGTTTTCATAATTTCTGTTCTGAAAATAATTGATATAATCACACTGGCCATAGCTTTTGCAGAAGCGGTGGGTCTACCGGTGTGGCGATGGAGAATTCGTCGCAGAAGCGGTGGAAAAACATGGCTGTCGGATAGTTTTTTGCTGGTGTCGGTAAGTTTATGACTTATTTGTACGTTATGTTTTTATGTTTAACTGATAACACCTAGTGAGACTGGAGCCCACATATGTACTCTTCCAACTTATTACACGAATGGGGTGCAAATCATGACCAGGCATGCAAACACTTCTGTACAGTTTGACGAGGGGACGCCACTTTTGCTTAATTTTGTTTATAACACTACAAATGTACTCAAAACTACCCCTAGTTACACTGGCATCACATCGTATGTATGATAATTACACAAAACAATCATGTTTTGGAACTTTTGGAAATTGATATTACCATTTTAATAAAAGAATTGACAAAAATTGAATTATAACGCAGACGGCGGTGGATTCGATTGCAACGCAGTGCGGTGGGCCCAATATCATAAATGTCTTTTTTTTAACGTTAAAGTCACCGACACTGAGGAGTTGAGCTCTAAACACCTAAAAATACAAATGAAATATATATTTGTTAATCCTTACACATATAGTTGTTATATATATCAATGAAAGTAAATATACGCTTTTTTTGCATCATGTACCTTATAAATATGTTTTTATAAAACTATCCCTGTTTTAGATACTAGTTTAACATATTGAGGTGTATGTTAACTACACCAAAGGCTCGCATACTATAATTTTATTCAACTCGTGCAATAAATTCAGTATTGAAATTACACTTATTCAATATCCTCTATGTATGGGTTGTTTAAAAATTAATTATAATGTATACATTAATTATAAAATTATCTTGTATTCTTTTTTATATTTTCCATCTATGCATCATGTACCTTATCAATATGTTTTTATAAAACAATCCCTGTTTTAGATTCTAGTTTAACATATTGGGGTGTATATTAACTATGTAGTACTTAAATGGTAATTTTAACTTATAAATAGAATTAAAAAATACTTAAAGTTTGTATTTTCTTTACAAACTATGCATTCATTTAACTTATAAAATGTCTTGATAAATTAAATCCCAGTTTGGACACTAGTTCAACATATTGAAGTTTATGTTAACTATGTATCGCTGAAATGTTAACTATAGCTTAAACTCGTATATTGAATTTAATCTATCAATTTAACAAATCAAAATGTTTTTGTAGTTTAACACACAAGAGTCACCATTAACTATGTATTACTAACACATTGGTCATAAATTTATTTTGAACTTTATTTTTACTTATAAACAGTTTGTGATAAAATTTTAATACATTGATAAGATGAGATAAGATCTGTTGATAGTGACACTAATTTTAGTTTTATTGCTTTATCTATTTTTTTATTTTATTTATTTCATTTTTTAAACATAACTTTACATGTTAACATTAAATTATATCAAATTTTTATTTAAAGTGTACAAAGCTATAAATAGGCTGCATGTAATATAAAAAATTATAGACAGCATTTTGAAATAAAATATTACAAAATACCTGACAAAAAAAGGTAGACGAAAATGTTGTTTATTGGCCTATGAGCGAATTGCACATGCACGTATATTTTTTGTTCGTAAATTGTAATTGTAATCTTTAAGTCACAATTTAAATTGTCGCTCTTTCGTTTTCGTTGCTTTTCACGGTCTGTCGTTCCTCCTTTGGTTGGACAGTTTGGTGGTTTTTGTTGTCCAACTTTGTGTCATCTATTATAACGTTTGCTACAATTGTTTTCTATGTGAAAGCGTATTTGAAGTTTCTGGTTAATCTTTTGATTTTATATCATAATCTATTCTTAGACAATAAAGACGTCTGGCTCTGCCAGACATTATCAATCAATTTTCTATGTTTGTATTTTAACTCTACTGAGGATGACACAAATTAACAAGGAGGAACATGTACCGTGGTAAAAGTAAAACATAAATACATTTCCAAACTTTTCATGAAAATAAACATGAATATTGAGGCGTGCTGCTTTAAAATCCTAATAATTGTATATTTATTAATTCCAGCCCATATACTTATATATTTCAATAAAACTTACATATTTGCTGTTTTGAAGAAAAAGTAAATATTTATACGTCAAAAATATACACAAGATAAAAAAATGTGTAAGAAAAAATTCGCACATCCTTCAAATCACCTTGCAATTGATTCTATTTCCAATATTTTCGCATTATCCTTTTGTCAACAGGCGAGACGAGTCATATATCTATTAAACTTATAGTACTAGTACTTATTATATATTTTCATCATATTTTTCTTTTTCAACAATATCAAACTTCATCTTCAATATACAAACACACTATGTGAAAAAATTTAAACTATCGCCGTTTTATTTATTTACAAAATATTTCAACAAATTCAAGCGTGACACTCAGCTCTATCGTATTTAAATGCGGTGCGCTATGAATGTGAGAACCCGCATTATCCCGAATGACTCCGATTATAACAAGGCTGGTTCAAAGCGCATTTATATACAGCATATCTGAGAGTCATTTTGTTTTCAAAAAAGCGTATATTTACTTTCATTGATATATATAACAACTATATGTGTTAGGAAATATATATTTCATTTGTATTTTAGGCGTTTGGAGCTCAATTCCTAAGTATCTGTGATTTTAACGTTAAAAAAAGACATTTATGATATCGGGCCCACCGCACTGTGTTACAATCGAATCCACCGCCGTCTGCGTTATAATCAATTTTTGTCAATTCTTATATGAAAATGGTAATATCAATTTCCAAAAGTTCCAAAATATGATTGTTTTGTGTAATTATCATACATACGATGTGATGCCAGTGTATCTAGGGGTAGTTTTGAGTACATTTGTAGTGTTATAAACAAAATCAAGCAAAAGTGGCGTCCCCTTGTCAAACTGTACAGAAGAGTTTGCATAACTGGTCATAATTTGCACCCCATTCGTGTAATAAGTTGGAAGAGTACATATGTGGGCTCCAGTCTCACTAGGTGTTATCAGTAGAACAAAAAAACATAACGTACAAATAAGTCATAAACTTACCGACACCAGCAAAAAACTATCCGACAGCCATGTTTTTCCACCGCTTCTGCGACGAATTCTCCATCGCCACACCGGTAGACCCACCGCTTCTGCGAAAGCTATGGCCAGTGTGATAATATGCAAGAAAAAGAATTAAACACCGGCTGTCAGTACATACGGGAATATCTAGCTCTCGGGCAACTGTTTAGTGGAAACTCGGCAGAGCTTCTTTACCACTGTAAACAGTAACCCTCGAGCTAGAAATTCCGGTCTCTACTGGCAGCCAGTGTAAGATTCTTATATTATAGCATAGTAAAATATAAAATTGAACACAATTATGGCAAAACTTGAAGTTTTTTCAATTTTTATCTTTGCCCACACCATTTTCAGTTTGATGGGCATAATGTCACTGTAAATAAGTAATTTTATCTTGTGTATTCACATTTGATGTCGCAATTGATCTGTAAACTTATTTGTGATTTTTTCAGCCAAGTTCAGATAATGAGGAAAACACACATGGTTTGATAACTGTAACAAGTACTGACAGCGTACAAGACTACTTTAAGAAGAAAATGGCGGAAAAACTGAATAAACTGAAAGGAATAAGGGCTGATACTGTACAGTTAGAGGATAGTTGGAACAATAGGAATAAAGTCGAAGCCAACGAAGAAGATAAAGAATGTCATGAGATACAAAACAAAACTAAAAAGAAGTCCAAGAAAAGGAAACTTAACTCTGATGACACTGTTGATCAGGCTGAAGAAACATTGAATGACATAGGAGATGATAGTGCTAATAAAGAGGAAGTTAAGAAAAAGAAAAAGTCAAAAAAGAAAAGGAAAAATGAGAAAGAATGTAAAAATGACAATGAGGCTGAAGATGATGAGGTTAGTCATATACATGTAAAGGAAGATAATGATAATGTAGATATATCAGTAAAGAAAAAGTCAAAAAAGAAAAAGAGAAATTTAGAAGTTACCGATAGTTTAGACACTGGTGATGTAAAAACAGAACAGGTGGAGGAAAGACTACTAGAATGTGTGGTAAATGAAGAAAGTATTAGTGACATAAAGCCAAAGAAAAAGAAGAAAAGTAAAAAAAGAAAACAGGATATTGCAGAAGATGATATGGTTACACCAGCGAAACAGAAAAAGAGGGTATCGTTTAAACTTGCAGAAGATGACAATGAAGATTTGTCCGAGGAAAAATCAGATAAGGTGAATAAACAGAAAAAGAACAAAAAGTCTAAGAAATGACTGTTTCGTTTTAAGGTATTTATAGAAAATAAAGCAAACTTCAGCATTAATATTCAATGTCTGCCTATATTCTTCTGCATGTTAATATGTCCTTAAAAATGTAAGAAATAAGGTTTTGAATCTATCATCAGTAATCTAGCCTGAAAGCTTGCTTGCATTTAAAGAATATAAAGTCCCTTATTAGGATTTGAACCCATGGCAGCAAAGGTCAAGTGAATCCCATGTAATTGACCATGATTGATCAGAAACACAAGTTTAAATAGACAATGTTTTAACCAATGAATCAATGTTATATTTCGTCAGTTTTCACAAGAAATTTAATTTTCAATTTCTTTATTAAAAAGTTGACTTTATTGCATAGTTTTGAAGATATATAATTGTATTCAGATTGGTTTCATTATTTGAATGATTTACTAAATTTCTTATGTCTCTTGAGCAAAAATTAACATATATTTATATTAATAGATCTACAATTACTTTTTTCTCTTGCCATTTTTTTTCATGAAAACCTGCATTATGTTTTTTTCAGAGTATCATCATAAGTGAAGAATCTAAACAGAAGGAATTAAATAGAAACAATGATGATTCAAGTGGAGATATAAAACTTTGTTCAAACAAAGGTGAAGCAGCATCTTTGCCACTAAATAATTCTGATAATTCAGTAACAAAATCATGTAAAACTAAAGATGACAGAGCCAGCGATGTTAGAATTACCTCTGATCTGTGTAAAAATAGTAATAGAAGGGATACTAGAGGACTGATGGCAGTCAGGGAGGTAAAGATGGCTGCTCAAGCATACAGAGGTGCTAATATAAATAATTAA